CTGGACCAGGTATGATTTGTCCTCCCACCTAAGTCTAAAGATGGCGTAGCATATCAAAAAGTGCTCATTTTGAATTCTAATTTGGCAGAAACTTGGTCATGTATTAATGTGTAATCACCAAATTGTTATCTCTGGGCAATTTAGTAACACGCCTGTTCATACCGCTGATTTGAAACCAGGTCCCCATACCATAAGGACCATCTGTTAGTGCAAAGAATACTGATAAATCTAATAACTTATCTTTCTACTTGGGAATAGATACATGTCTAGCTTAAGCCTGGACTATAAGGGAAGCTTCTTTCTGGATTTTTATTTTATGCTTTAGCATAACATTTCAGACCTGGTTAAATTGCAAGGGTGCCTTTAATTCTGAAGCTTTGTGAATAATTTTGTGTCTTGTCTGGTGCTGTTAGCTGTGATGGGTCAGTAGGGCTAAAGGAAAAAGCAAAACAGAGAAACTTTGTGCATTGCTAAAGGAAAGGATCCCATTTTGAAGACGCACTAGGAGCTGCTGGAGGTCTGATGAGTAAGCAGCCGCCCAATTTTCTGTTATTTCTCAGAAGCCAATTAAAGAGAGAATCCTCCAGAGTATCTTGGTGTTTTAGAAACGGTTCAGTTGACAGCATGGATGCATTCTGCAACTGAATTATCTCAGTATTTCATTACCATGCCAGGCAAGATACAGCGCAGATGCAGTAGCCTTTCTCAAGGATGAGAGCTATTTTTAGTTAGGGAAATGGGAATATCCAAATAGCCAGAGGTTTATTTTAGTGCTTTGTGCATCATAACTATAGAGAGAGCTTAATGAGGAATCTTCCCGTTTCTCTAAGATCCACAGCTTTGTTCAGTTATAGTTAAGGCAACACGAAGGGGACTGTGTCATTTCAGCCACTTGGGATTCATTTGCAGAAAACAGCAGCTTGTGCTGGCTTTCATCCAGTTTTGCTGCTGGCGAAACATGTCTCTTCACTCTCTTTGTACTCTCAGCTACATGACCAAAATCCTGTTTAGCCAGTTTTTCAAACTGGTGCTCAAACTCTGCCCTTCCCTCTCACCACCTTTTCTCTAAGAACTGTTTTAGGTTTCGTGGAAGTAAATGTACAGAGCAGCTTGTTCGATTTTTCCTCTTCTCTCTGTTCAGTTTTTAATCTCAGTATTGAATTATCAAACATGTTCCTTTAAATATGGCCTGATTCATCAGAGCTCTACTAGAGAGGCTGATCTGGTGGAATAAGCAATAAGGGGTGGAGGGTGATGCCAATACACTGTGGTTCTTGCAGTTGAAATGAGGGCTGTTTGCAAGATGCAAGCAGAAGTAATTAACACTCTGTATAACTCTGTTGCTACGAAATGAGTAGATTAACAGGGGAGACACAGGGTGTGGGACCTCGGTGGAGGAAGTCTTAAGGCGGGGCAGCTTTGCATGCTAAAGCGCGGGAGTGCTATGGAGGGCAGCACGAAGATGAATGATGAGGTAAATAGCCGAGAGAGTTTTTATTAGTGGAGGGAAGGAGATGTGGATGGAATTTACGAAATGACAGAGTCGTGGACAGGTTATTCAACATGTGAGACAGAAAAATGTAATGTAAATCTGCCACTGGTCTTAACTTGTCCTTAGCTTGCTACATCTGGGTGTATGCCGGTTCAAGGTTGTTTTGAGATGCTGCCTGAAATTTGTGGTATGAAAAAGGAGGTTGAAGATGGCTTTTCCACAGGAACTCTGAATTGCTTAACTTATATTTCAACGTGGCTTTACAAACACATCTGCACTGGTTGCTTTAACTGCTCCTGATACATGTGATAGGTTGTATCTATTGCCTGAAAGACTTAAGGGTCCAGTGTAATCTATAGTAATGAGAGCTGGTCCACAGCTATGCTTTTCATACTTAACCTTTCCTGAATTTGGAGGCATCTCATGTAGATGAAAGAAGCCAGTTCAAGCTAACCTCAAATATCTGTCGTTCCTCTGTGGCAGTGTTATGCTTGCTATTTTGCCCCATGCTCTTCTCCTAGGTGAATCTTCCCATTCACACTGTGCTACCCCATTCCTCTCCTCAATTAACCCGTCCAATAGCTAAACTGTTTAGGATAGGAAGGATTGCTTATGACTCCTGACTGTTCTTCCCACACTCCTTTTGCCCTCTTCTGGAGCACTACAACCCAAAGTTTGAAAAAGGCTGTTTTTAAAAGAGAAGTTTCTAAATAAGTATTCAGCAAGGCCTGCCAACCTTGTGACATTTTATCTAAGGCACTTTAAGCTGCTAGCCTCTAGTAAGAAAATTAGAGAATTGTTTTGATATGTCGACTGTCCCATTGGAAAGGAGTTTGCAATGTTGAACGTTGTCACTGACATCTAATAAATATGCAGTGCAAATACTTGGGCTCAGTTAAAAATAAAAACAAATGCTGCCTCTCGTGCCTTCTTTAAACCTTAGTACATTTGGACTGTTTGGCTTATCGGTGTCCTTATGCAATATTTCACTCTTCTTGATGTCTTCTCACTAGGGGCTTCTGAAAATAGCTGTGTTGTCTATCTGTCTTTTCAGCTGTACATTGTGTGTGAAACACCATCTGAAAAAAAAAGTGAATATTTCAGTGCAACAGTCTTGATTTTTACCAACTTGACTTACACCGTTTGGCCTGAGTGTTTCCTCCCTTGTCCAAACACTTTTCTCCTTTTGTTTTCTAACTTGGTGAGGACTTTTTGAACTACAGTTTTTGTTTTATTTGTAAAGCAGGAGGCTGCATACATTTGCTGCTTCCCTCAAATTCTGTGTTGGATTTCTTTGTTTATCTGATCAAAACAGCTCCCTAATTGCACTCTTTATATGGGCTCTTGTGCATCTTCAGAAGCATAGGGTACAAAGTTGAAGGTTTGGAGAGTGTTTTATTACTGTTCATCAGTAAGACTCTGCTTCCTTTTGGCAAGAATCCCTGTACACCTTCTGGAGACCAATTCCTGTCACCATTTCCAATCCCTTTTTACAAATATTTGCTCTTTACTGTGTCCAGAAGTTAAAACAAAGTAATAAGTTGCTGCATTTAGTAAGAAGGCAATTCTCATGTCTGTTATTGTGGTGAGAATATTTGTTGCTGGCTTGTGACTGTGGCAGTCCCCAGAACTGTATTTCTGAAGTGGTTCCTTTTGAGTCCTCGGGAATTTTCTTCTTTTTCTGGTGTTTACACATCAGCTGAGGTATTTTGAGCACTCTCAGATCTCAGTTTTCTGACTTTAAATCATCCTTAAACAATGACTTGCTTTACAGCCTGAACTAGCAATCAGGAGGAAGCTGGCTTTCTGAATCTGCAAGAGTTTGGGTTGGTTGTTTGAAATTTTTTTTTTTTGGGGGGGTAGTGGTGGTTTTTTTGATAGTGTGCAAAGAATTGCATTGTGAAGGGTTTTTAGGGGGGATACTTCACCCTTCTTAAAGTTTCAAATACCTTCTGTTTGATATTAAATAACTTCATTTTATAGACAGATATATATCTATATCTGTACATATATCTGCAAATTAAGCAACTTACACAAGATGCTGATGTAAGTGCCTTTCCTTACCCAGCTCTGCCCCTCAGTTCTCTGTCTTGATATGTAGTAGCCACTACTACAGCATTTCTGAACTCAAAATGGTAGTGGAACGCTGGTTAGCTGTCCAAGCCTAGAAAAGGACCTGAACTGGATTTAAGAAGTTATTTTGAAATAAAGCCTGGGTAGTCATGTCTCTGCTCCTACTAAATCATGTTCAATGCGTGATTTCTCCCTTGTGGAGCCTTACCTTTGGGACACAGATGCTGCAACATTTGTTCACACAGTGAATACTGTGTAGCTGTGTGATCAGCTCATTAGGACATCATCTTTCCTGAGCAGAGACTCTAACTATGTAAAGTGTCACATGTGTTGATAAAACAAACCCCCCTCTTTTCCCCCATACACAGGTTAAAAGACAGCATAAAGATATTGTCTGAGTTTCAAGTCAACTTGTAATTTGCTTTTGGGGGTGGTTGTTTTGGAGTTGTAAGCTATTGCTGAGAGCAGTGGGTGGCTACTGCATCATGATGTTAATTACTGCTTGGTTTGTGATGTGATGCTTTCCTGGGAGGGAGTAGCATCAAGAGGGAAGCTTAGAATAATTATAGCTGTCCCCTTGAAAGTTAGCTAACAAGCTACTATTTACTGATTTGATACATGTAGGTACTGTGATGCATTAGTTGACTATTATGAGCAAGGAATTTAACACTGGTATGGAGTAATAAAAGGCTAGAAACTGTTGTATAAGGATGGAAAATAACATTGAGCAAGACACAGATGGAGCCCTTTCCTCCTGAGAGTTAACCTATTGGGGGTTATCCATGCTAGAGATAGAGAATAATTTTGTTTTATCTAGCGTTTGTAACACTGTACCTCTACCAAGAACTTTCATTGGCTTGAATTTGACTTGATTATAATTTCACTTTTGAAGGTATTAGACCACAATTTGTTGGCTTTTCTTAGCATATAATTTTTAAAACATTAGTAAATCCTGATAGGTGGCTTTTTTCTTTTTGAAGTTCAAATAACAAAAAAAATTATTTCAAGGACATAACTGAATTCAAAGGCGCCATAGGTGAAGAAAGGCTATTGCAAAATCAGTATTGTGATTGATCTTGAAAGGTTTTTTCTTTCAAATATTTCATAGCTTTTATAATTAGTTCAGATGTTGAACATTACCATTATAATACCATGACCTTTCATAGGAACTCAAAATTCTGCTGTATTGTCCTAATTGTTCTGTTTACCATACTGCTGGTGTTCTTATTTTCTATTCCACAAATGTATATAGTTTCTTTGCCTGCCTTTAATCAGGAGCCCACATCTGTTCTCCATGTTTTTTCAAAAGCTATTATAAAGTGCAGAATTATTTTCTCTTCTTTAGAAAAAGAAAAGTTTTAATAATGGTAACTGCCTGTTTCATGGAATTATCTGTATTGGTCAGTACAATGAAATTTATCACTTTATTTTTCAGTTTAGTCAGCTGGTATCCAGTGATTTGAAAGTACTTGGAAGGAGCTCTTACACACTCTGCAGTGATGGCCAGTTACTCATTCGACAAGTCCTCCACCCAGAAACATCTAAGAAGGTATGAGATCAGAACTGATGCAGAAGGACAGTACTGTGTTCTAAGGACATAAAAGAAAATAGCTTATGTGAGTTTGAGATGAGCAACACAATTCAACCTTGGGAACTATAGTGTTCTAACAATATTTAAGATGATTCCCTCCCCGTCTCAACCTTGTGTAGCAGACAAGCAGTTCTTGGCACTTGCTTTTTGAAGTCAGCTACAGTACTTGAGGACTCCCATATAAGTGTAATGAAGATGAAAATTAGGAAAGACAGGATAGAGACAGGAACAATACAAGTACTTTGAATTCTGTGTCTTAAGAAATGGAAGCAAAGGTACAGGTCTAACCTCAGCGGAGTTGATGGAGAATTATTGCTTTGTTTAGGCTTGAGTTAAACCACAGGTTTTGTGCGGAGCCATGGGTCTCTACCAAGATCTGAAATTGGTAGGAGCCATGTGTCAGTGTCCTGTAGAGAATAAACACATGGGCAGTGACTTGCCCTGGAGAATGGCAGTGGTTCCCCATCCACATTTATTCAGCGGGAAGTAGTGCTACAGCTTATTTGCTACTCCCACACAAAGCAGCAGTTTCCACTCAGAGCTTCTGCAACAGCTTAGAGGAGGCTGTCTTGCATGAGGAGAAGAATCTTGCCTTTCTGCAGGGTAGTGGCTCTTGAGTTAGCCTGCTTGGCAGGGTCTGCAGGAACCCCACAGGAATGGGAGCTGCTGACATGGAAGAAGTTGACTGATCAGTTGTATTTTTTTTTTTCTCTATATAAGGCTATTGGCTCATGCTGAGTTTCTACAAATATTCATTTGGCATTTGTGTTATATTAAAACTGTGACTTCTTATGAAAAGTGCATGTTTATGTAGGGATGAAGCAAGTAAGGAAACAGGAATGATATTTAACATTCAAACATTATAGTTGTGTTGCGGTTTTTTTGTGGGTTTTTTTGTGTTTGGTTTGGTTTTTGGGTTGGTTTTTTTTTGTTGGTTTTTTGGTTGGTTTTTTTGCTTTTTTTTTTTTACTTCATGCCATCCTGCAATATGGATTGTGGGTAGTTCTTTGTACTGCCCTCTTGAAACAAATGGACTGAAACAAAACAAGCACTGTAATGTTGTAGAAGAAATAATTGTCCATACTAGATCTAGGAATGGATCTGATCAACTGTTGAGTCTCTTCATACTGCATTTCTTTCCCTTTTTTTTCTTTCTCCTTCAATACTTTTTTCATTTGCAAAAGTTTATTTCTCCCTGAACATTAAATATTAGTGAGCCTCGGACCATAGCTCTTACTGTTCCTACCATTTTAAGAAGCATTACTTTGTGACTTTTCTTAATTCCTTATTTACAAAGGTGGGTACTGTTTGTTTAGACCGAAGTCAAACTTTTATATAGTAAAACAGTTGGAGAGTGTGAGAGAGAAAACAGTGAATCAGACCAGAATTATTTGGTTTATTCCTTGAAAAAATAAGCTAATGTCTGAGTGAAGGGCTGCTTAAACATTTGTTTAATAATGTTATGTAATTGAAATCCTTATCCAGTACACAACAGCAAGGAATAAATGTCTTTAAGTTGCTGGAAGATATTTTGTACACTGTAACAATATTTATTTAAACTTTGCTATCACTTTTTGGTACAATATTTCTTTTCAGTGTAGCCACAAAAGAGAAAATACGGTATCCTAAATGGGAGTATTTATAAAACAGAAAAACCTAGATTTCGCTCCCCCCCCCCCCCCCCCCCCACCG